CTCCCTTTTTGACTGGCCGATTACCTTGGCCTCCTTTTGCCATTTGGTGGCTACAGTGATCCTTATTATTATTATTATTTTTAGACAGTCTCACTATGTTGTCCTCAGTAAAGTGCTGTGGCATCACAGCTCACAGCAACCTCAAACTTTTGGGCTTAAGTGATTCTCTTGCCTCAGCCGCCCAAGTGGCTGGAACTGCAGGTGCCCACCACAATGCCCGGCTATCTTTTTGTTGCAGTTGTCATTATTGTTTAGCTGGGTTACCTTGGAGTATGTGGCTGGCACCCTAACCACTGATCTATGGGCACTGAGCCTATAGTGACCCTTTTGGAACCAAATTATAATCATATCATACCCTTCACAATTCTATGATGGCCCCTGGGATCTGGCCAGATCACTCAGCTAAGTAGTTTAGTCTTTTCCTCCTCTGGCTTCCCTTCCCTCCATTTCTCCCGTGAATCCTACGCTTACACCCCCCCCCACCACCACACACACACATATACCCATAGTTTGCTTTTGAGCCCTGCACACCTTCTTTGTCAGCCCCAATGTCCTGCCCCACCTCACACTTCTGCCCGACAAGCATCACTCATCCTCCCTCAGGGACACTTAGTCATTCCTTCTTCCATGCACCTACCACATTTGGGAAATGCTTTAGTAATTTCTTTAGCAAACACGCCTATCCTGTGCCAGACAATGTTCCTAAGGGTTTTGCAAAATACAAACTCTTTTATTTTCATAACAACCCCATAAGGTCATTGTTATTATTCCTGTTGCCGATGAGGAACCTAAGGCCACTGAGAGGTTTAGTCCCTGGTCCATAATCATATAGCAAAAAGTGGCAGGGCCAGTCTTGGAACCCAGGAGTGCGGCCCCAGAGTTTGGGCTTGGATTGATGCTGCTACATGTCTTCTTTAAGGGGATAAGTATCATTGATCATACGCTATTAAGCTAAACAATGTAAAATTGCCAATATTTGGCTGTTTTGACCTATAAAAGCAGACAATTTGTATGATTCATTGTGTTAGGCACTTGGGATACAGTCAATGGACAGATAGTCTTTGACCTTTGAGAGGAAACAACTGTAGAGTATGACAGTTGGGGGAAGAACAGGGAGCTGAGAAAGCCTAGGACCTAATTTGTGGGGAGAGTCCGTGAAGGACCCTGCTGAGGATGTTTAAGAGAAGACTCAAAAGAGCAAAAGTTTGGGAAAGAGGGTAACAGGGTGAGAGAAGGAGATTCCAGGCAAAGGCACAACTCTGGAACAGTGTAGGCTACAGGCTGAAAAGTGAAAGAACTGCCCATGAGTGTGCCAGCAATTAGGAGCTGGCACAGAGCAGGTGCTTAATAAGGATTTGTCATCTGTGGCCTTATCACCTTGGATCTGCCTGATCTTGTCTGATCTTGGAAGCTAAGCAGGATCAGGCCTGGTTAGTACATGAAAGGGAGACTGCCTGAAATAATGGGTGCTATAGGCTTAAAAAGAAAAAGAAAAAGAAAAAGAATTTGATGAAAATGGAAAGAAATCAAGAGAGCTGGAACTAATGCCATGAAGGCAGAGTTTTCAGCAGAAAAGTTACCAAAGAAAACCAGAGTTAGGCAGTAGTTACAGCAGTGAAAACATTTTATCTGAGATTATTTAATAGGCTAGAACTAGATTCAATTCTGAATACAAGGACAAGTGAGAATTACAGCCAAGGAGCAAGGGGCGGGGGCAGTAGGTAGAAAATTACTAAGAAAAAATGTCAAGAGCAAGGAGGATTCTGGCTAAACTAGCCTAAGTGGAGTCTTGTTGAAGGCAGGCCAGGGGATCCGATGTCATCTAGGGGAAGGTGGAGGGTGAGGAACTAGATCAGATATCCAGGGTGATCAGATACGGAGGATGGGGGATTCTGGCTCAACTGACTTGGCAGGATTCCTGCTAAAGTTGGACAATGCAGAGGTGAACATGGAAGCCCAAAGCCTAGGTGAAAAATAGCTCAGGGGCACCTGAGTAGAATTTTGTCAAGGAGAGAATCCTTGAGTGAACTACTCAAATTTACTTTTTCATTGTTTTATTTTAAGGACGAATTTAATGAAGTTAAGGCAGTAAAATTCATACTTTTTTGTGTGCAGTTCTGAGGGGTGACATGCATCAGTTGCATAGACCTCACCCCCGAGAAGATACAGAGCAATTGTATCACTTCCAAAAAGCTCCCTTGTGCTGCCCCTCCTGGTGGCCATCCCTGCCCACGCCTGAGGCAAGTTGGCCTTTTCCAGGATGGCGTGTGGGAATGGAATCCTACAGATGGTAGTCCTTTGAATCTGTCTCCTTTTGCTTAGAATAATACATTTGAGACCTGTCCCTACTGTTGTGTACATCAATAGTTGGTTCCTTTTTTACTGCTGAGTAGAATTCTATCGTATAGCTGCATCATAGTTTGTTCATCTAATACTTACCAGTTGACGGATTCAAATTCGATTTAAAAAGAAATCACTGCACCTAGTTTGAATGCAGTGAGGTGAGGTGGGGGTAGGATCTGCATCGCTGCTGCTTGCTGACAGGCCTTTTCCCTAGCTGGGTGTGAGTGACAGAGATAGGCACCATGTCTGGTCGTTGTTCTCAGTAGCCAGCCTGGACGCAGCTGGCTCTCCTTGGAGGAACGGAGCCATTTGGGAAGCAGATGTAGGAGAGAATATGGGGATGGAGGACCTGGTGCAGTCACTGCAGACTGGGGCTCAGAAGAAATGGAATGAGGGGCTGGAGGTTGAGAGTTTGGCCTTAGGGAAGGAGGGTCAAACAAGAGACAGTCTACTTCTGAGAGCAGAGCATGCAAGAATATCTGGCCTTAAGTTCAACTTGGAGCAAAGTGTGCGTGTGTGTGCCTGCCCACCAAACCCAACACCTTCCCTCAAGGCGGAAGGCAAATTCGCAGCTGTCAGGTGCATATCAGGTTGCAGTTCTTCCCCTGGCAGAAAGGTGGCGACGTTGCACCGTGTCTGTTTCCGCCTCTGTGGTCATCCGGCGGGACAGTCACAAAGGACTGTTAGCTGGCCGGGCCTGATAGCTCACGCCTGTAATCCTAGCACTCCTGGAGGCCAAGGCGGGCTGATTGCTTGAGCTCATGAGTTTCGAGACCAGCCTGAGCAAGAGCAAGACCCCATCTCTAAAAATAGCCGGGCGTTGTGGCGAGTGCCTATAGTCCTAGCTACTTGGGAGGCTGCGGCAAGAGAATTGTTTGAGCCCAGGAGTTTGAGGTTGCTGTAAGCTGTGATGCCAAGGCACTCTACCGAGGGTGACAAAGTGAGACTCTGTCTCAAAACCAACCAATCAAACAACAAAAGCCCCAGAGGACTGTCAGTTGCTGCACGCTGAGCCTGAGGACCTCAGAAACCACCATATCCAATAACGCTATTTTACAGGCAAAGGACTTTGACAGAACAGATTCTTAGACCGTTTTCCCAAGCTCTTCCCAAGCTTTGCTGAAGCTTCAGGCTTGCGCTGAAGCTCAGGGTGGAGAGCAAAGGCTGAAGGGCAGAGCCATGACCATGGGCGGCAGCCCTGTGCCTCTGCTGCCAGTCCGCTGTGTGCCGATTTGCCTTTCCTCTGTGGTCCTCAGTCTCCACGTTTAAAAAGTCTGGGAGGCCCAGGTAGGTGGATTGCCTGAGCTCATAGTTTCAAGACCAGCCTGAGTCAGAGTGAAATCTTGCTTCTAAAAAATAGCCAGTAGTGGTAGTGCCTGTAGCTCAGTGGGTACATACACCAAGGCTGGTGGGTTCGAACCCAGCCAGGGCCTGCTAAACAACAATGACAACAACAACAACAACAACAACATAGCTGGGTGTTGTGGCGGGTGCCTGTAGTCCCAGCTACTTGGGATGCTGAGGCAAGAGAATCACTTAAGCCCAAGAGTTGGAGGTTGCTGTGAGCTATGATGCTGTGGCACTGTACCAAGGGCCACAAAGTGAGACTCTGTTTCAAAAATAAATAAATAAAAAGTAAAAAGCTGAACTTCCAACTTTAAAATAGGTACTTTGCGCTGTAGAGAAGACTAGGATGAAAAAGACACATGAGCTTACGTTCTGCTGGTAGAGCTCCAGCTGGTGCACAACTCACCCTTCCAGGCAAAGCAGACCCTGGTGGCTGCAGGCACCCTTGAGGCTGTGTGCACAGGATGGTAGTATGTGCGGTTGAAATGTCAAAATACTTCTGGATGATAAATAACTGTTGACTAAGCACTAGAATTGCCAGATAAGATACAGGACACCTAGTTATGTTTGAATTTCAGATAAACAACAGGTAATTTTTAAGTATAAGCATTAACTAAATATCACCTTGGAGATATTTGTACTAAAAATTATTTGATGTTTAAGGGCCAGGTGTGGTGACTCACCCTGTAATCCTAACACTTGGAGAGGCTGAAGAGAAAGGATTGCTTGAGGCCAAGCATTTGAGACCATCACGAGCAAGAGTGAGACCCTCCATGTGACCTGGTCTCAAAACAAAACAAAACCCCCAAAATAAAATAAAAATGATTTGATCCTGGCTCGGCACCTGTAGCACAGTGGTTTCAGCACCAGCCACATACATGGAGACTAGTGGGTTTGAACCCAGCCTGGACCAGCTAAACAACAATAACAACTGCAACAAAAAATAGCCGAGCACTGTGGCAGGCACCTGTAGTTCCAGCTACTTGGGAGGCTGAGGCAAGAGAATTGCTTCAGCCCAGGAGTCTGAGGTTGCTGTGAGCTGTGACGCCATGACACTCTACTAAGGGCAACATAGTGAGACGCTGTCTCAAAAAAAATTATTTGATCTTTATCAGAAGTTTATATTTAGGTGTCCAGCAACTTTATCCAGTCCACAGGGCCCACCCCATACCTCAGCCTCTCTCCTGGGACCCCTAGATCTCCACCCCAATGGGCTAGTGCTCAGTTTAACTGGTTGTTAATATTTTGACCCTTACCCCTGAATGCAAAGGGCAGCCAAATGCAACAGCTGTTCTCTTTCTCCCTTCCAGGCCTGGCACTCCTACTGCCCCCGACCACTCTGGGAGCCCTGGTGGACAGCTGGCTTCGGGAGGACTGCCCAGGCCTCAACTATGCAGCCTGGGTCGCTGGAGCAGCCCCCTCGAAGGCTGTGCTGTGGGCCAAATCCCCTGGGGTACTTGCGGGGCGCCCTTTCTTTGATGCCATCTTTGCCCAACTCAACTGCCAGGTATCCTGGTTCTTCCCTGAGGGATCGAAGCTGGTGCCAGTGGCCAAGGTGGCTGAAGTCCAGGGCCCTGCCCACTGCCTCCTGCTGGGGGAACGGGTGGCCCTTAACATGTTGGCCCGCTGCAGTGGTGTGGCCAGTGCTGCTGCAGCTGCTGTGGAGGCTGCCAGGGGGACCGGCTGGACTGGGCATGTGGCTGGCACGAGGAAGACTACACCAGGCTTCCGGCTGGTGGAGAAGTATGGGCTCCTCGTGGGTGGGGCCTCCACACACCGCTATGACCTGGGAGGGCTGGTGATGGTGAAGGACAACCACATTATGGCAGCTGGTGATGTGGAAAAGGTGCTTGCCCTGCTGAGCCCCTGCCCTGGCCCTGGTCCAGCCCTTCCCTCCTCACACTTTCCTTCCACCAGACCCCCCTGCCACCATCTGGTGCAGAGCGATGGCCTGGAGTCAGAGGAGCAAGACTCTTGCACCCTCAGCTGCCTCATCCATCATGTGGGGGCTGGACTTGCTCTTTACCTTTGCTCTTCTGCAGCTTTAGATGTTGTTCAAGAGCAAAGGACAAACCACTGGGAAACCAGTGTTGATGGCGTCACAGCCTGGGGCCAATCTCTCCGACCCTCTGCACCTGTTTCTCCATCTGTGCAGTGTTCTGGGAGATCCCTTCTAGTTTTAATAATCTAAGTCAAACTGAACTTGGGTCCAAATGGCAAATATCGATAATATGTGGCTGTTTTTTAAATCACTAATGTGGTTATTTCACGTGGTATAACCTAATATAAAACATCCCTATGTCCAGTTTCCTCATGAGCCCCAAGCTCAGTGACCATGTGGGGCCTTTTGAATGCTGGTCCCAGCTCCTTGCACCCCAGGGGCATGTGCCAACCATGCCCCCCCTCTGCTGCCTACAGGCTGTTCGGGGTGCCCGGCAGGCGGCTGACTTCTCGCTGAAGGTGGAGGTGGAGTGCAGCAGCCTGCAGGAAGCGGTGCAGGCAGCCGAGGCTGGGGCCGACCTCATCATGCTGGACAACTTTGGGCCAGAGGTGAGGGGGGCTCTGCTTCCTAGGAGGGGACATGTGGGGGCCTCTCACTCTCCCTGGTTTATGTCCCACAGGAGCTGCATGTCACGGCTGCTGCGCTGAAGGCCCAGTTTCCATGTGTGGCTGTGGAAGCCAGCGGAGGCATCACCCTGGGCAGCCTCCCTCAGTTCTGTGGGCCCCACATCGATGTCATCTCTTTGGGCATGCTGACTCAGGCTGCCCCGGCCCTCGATTTCTCCCTTAAGCTGTTTGGGGAAGTGTCCCATTCACCACCCTCTCAAATCCACTGATCTTAAAGCCAAAGAGGATGATGGGTTAAACGTGGCTTGCTGGGACCCTGGAGGTTACACCCTTTAGGGTCAGTGGCTAGCAGGGCACACTTGGTGTTAGCCTGGGCTCAACTCCAGCTCTGCCACCTACCGCTTGTGTGACCTAGCAGGGTTGACTTCACCTCTGCTCACCTCAGTTTCCTAATCTGCAAATTGGGTCTAAAAATGATTAACTTCATGAGACTTGGGGGGTGATAATTAACACATAGTAAGTGATCAGCAAATGCTAAAAATTATCATAGTTCACGTATTCTAAGATGCAATTTTTTTCACGTGTTACCTTCGTAGAAGTCAGTGTGCCTGCTTAATCACGGTGTCGCACAATCACCGTCAGCCAGGTTCTGTCCTCAGGAAGTCTTTGTGGCCTGTTCATGCATCTCATGTATACAAATGGTTCAACTTACGGTTTTTTGACTTTACCCTGGTGCAAAAACAATACATATTCAGTAGAAACCTCACTTCAAGGACCCACAAAATCATTTTGTTTTTCACTTTCAGTACAGTATTCAATAAATGACATGAGATATTCAATACTTTATTATAAAATAGGCTTTGTGTTAGGTAATTTTGCCCAACTGTAGGCTAATGTAGTGTTCTGAGCTAGGCTAAGCTATGATGTTTGGCAGGCTAAATGTATCAAATGCATTTTCTTTTCTTTCCTTTTTTTTGAGTCAGAGTCTCCCTTTGTCACCCTTGGTAGAGTACTATGGCATTATAGCTCACAGCAACCTCAAATTCTTAGGTTCAAGTGACTCTCTTGCCTCAGCCTCCCAAGTAGCTGGGACTGCAGGCACCTGCCACAGTGTCCAGCTACTTTTTTTAGAGACGGAGTCTTGCTCTTGCTCAAGCTGGTCTCGAACATGTAAGCTCAGGGCAATCCAGAGTGCTAGGATTTCAGACGTGAGCCACTGCGCCTGGCCCTTATTAAATGCATTTTCAATCTAAGATATTTTTACCTTACAAGGGGTTTATCAGATGTTTCCCATTGTAAGTCAAGAATCATCTGTACATGATAAAAATCTGTTGAGGCCAGGGGTGGTGGCTCATTTCTATAATCCTAGCACTCTAGGAACCCTTGAGCTCAGGAGTTTGAGACCAGCCTGAGCAAGAGTGAGAGCCTGGCTCTACTAAAAGTAGAAAAAATTAGCTGGGCATTGTGTTGGGCACCTGTAGTCCCAGAGACTTGGGAGACCAAGGCAAGAAGATCACTTGAACTCAGGAGTTTAAGGTTGCTGTGAGCTAGGGCAAGAGAGTGAGACTTTGTCTCAAAAAAAAAAAAAAATCCACGTTGAAATAGGACAAAAGAGCTCTTTCAACACAAACCAGAAATTGTAAGCCACAAGAAAGCATTGGGCATAGTTTGACAATTTGAGCTATGATGTTTATGTGTTATAGTCAATGGCATCTTATATTTGAAGCCACGTGGCACCAGGTCTAGTCTTCACTTGGCCAATGACCATGTTGTACTAGTTATTGAGAATTTTACCTCTTGGCTCCGGCTACTATTGTTAGCTCTTTGGTGGAGATGAGCGTCTTCCATTCCTCACTTCTATGGTGTCTGACAGACTCCATCATGCATCCTCTCTCAAATGAAAGGACACCCCATTCCCATTCAGCACTGAAGGCTTTCTGGGGTCTGGTTCCATGGGGCTGATATCTGTTGGGGGAGGATGATGGGTGTGGAGCTGCTGGGGCCAGAACAAAGGTCTGGTTGAGGGAGTGAAGGATGGGGGCGGTGGCAATGTTCAAATGTTAAACTTCCTTTCTTGATAATCAGGACTCAGGGGTATAAGCAGAAGGCTAAGGCCAGCTCTCCACACATACACATATACATACACCCGAGGTTCTGCTCACCTCCATGGCCGCCCCTACCCTCACTTCAAGCCTAGGGTTCTCCTCACTCTAACTCTTCTAGGGTTGCTTCGGAAGGAGTGGAGACATGAGGGGTTCTTAGGTGAAGGTGGTCCCCGAGGTGACTTCCTACAGGACCTCCCTTCCCCAGAACTCACTCCCTTCTCCATTCTTTGCCAGAAGAGAAAACCAGCTCTCACAAAGGCTCATTCTCCAGGGGTCCTGGGGGTATCAATCTCCCTTAGAGGAGGTATCCTACCCCTTTGTCCCTTCCTCAGCCCTGGAGACAGTCTAGCGGCCTAGGAAGGTGATAGCTAAAGGAAACAATGAGCTAATCTCAGAGGCAAAAGCCCCAGGCAGACCGAGATTTTCCTCCTGTACCGAGCAACTGTCGTGGCCAGGCTCTGAGCACAGGGCAAGTGAAGAATCATTTGGCAGGAATTCTGGGCTGAGCTGGACCAAAGGCACCATTTCCATATACAGCCCAGAGGTGCTCCTTGGGCTGTCCTCTGTAGTTCCCACCTCCACCTTGTGTTACCGTCCTTCCTCCAAGAGAAACAGGGATGCACTCAGGAGAACCCCAGCTCATGCCTGAAGGGGAGAACGAAATTCCCACAGAACCAGGGGCAATTCTGAACATCAGCACAGGAAAGTTGGGCCCAAGGGTAATCTGGGAACTGGAAAGTGAAGCACACAGGATCCGGGAGGAAATCAGAGCCTGATGGAGGCAAGCTGAGGAGTCTGTACCAAGAACTGCGAACTGGGAGGCGCCTGTAGCACAGTGGTTATGGTGCTGGCCGCATACACTGGGGCTGGTGGATTCAAACCCAGCCCAGGCCTGCTAAACAATGGCCACTACAACAACAACAACAAAAAATAGCTGGGCATTGCTGTGGGCACCTATAGTCCCAGATACTTGGGAGACTGATGCAAGAGACTCACTTAAGCCCAGGAGTTTGAGATTTCTGTGAGCTGTGACACCCTGGCACTCTACCCAGGGTGAGTAGTGAGACATAGTGAGAATCTGTCTCAAAAACAAAACAAACAAACAAAAAAAAAGAATTGCAAACTGCAATGTGTCCAGGACCCAAGCAGGTAAAATAAATGAGTGAATCTGGAATAAAACAAAAGGGAGTGGGCTGTGGCCAACTGGAGAGTGCATGTCACACCTACAGTAGTCCAGTTAAAAAAGAGCATGCCAGGCTTTGTCTTGAGGTTCCCCTTGAACCCAGAAATGAGTTAGCCCTACAGAAACTTCCAGATCTGAGAGCTGGCAAGGGGGTTCCATTACCAGAAGAAAAGGAAATGGATCCTGGGCAGTCAAGAACAACTCATGCCCTCCTCTCAGGGGAGTGGATTTCCAGGCAGAGGAGGCTGCATGGCAAAGGCCCAGAGTAGGAAATGGCTTGGGTTTGGTGTAAGATCTGAAGCCAGGACTGGGAAAGGCAAGATGGCTGAAAGATGGGCTGGGTCCAGACCACAAAATTGGTAAGTCAGAGGATTTGGAATCTGTCCTAAGAACAATCTGATTCAAGCTTGAAAGTAGGTAAAAATATTTGCAATTTGGATCAAATCTGCTTGCAGGAAGATGCATTTGCGGGGTCAGAATGGCTACAAAGAGAGCAGGAGGCAGCTGTTCTAGAGGGTTGAACATGGGGCCATGGGTTGGAGAGAAGAGAATGCAGGCATAAGGTCCAGCATCTGCAAAGGCAAGGGGGACCGAGGGAGCTTGATGGTTCAAGACAGTCAGAAGAGTTGGGTGTGGCTGTGGGTGGGGAATGGGACCTGGATACATGGATGGTGGAAGAGGGATCTTACCCCTTACCTGGCCTCCTCTTGTCCATCTGGCTGTCCATCTTCCTTATCTGGCCAGCCTGGGACCAGACTGGGGCCATTTCCCCAGGCTCCCTGATGTCTGGCATAGTGCCCATCAATTTGGTTTCTTAGTGCAGATGGCATGCTGCGGCTGGTATGTGATGCACTGTCAGTGCTGGCTGGTGGGTAAGAAGGGAACAAACAATGACCCAGTGCCCTTGTCCAGCATGTGTAGGCCTCTTTCCCCTGTTAATGCTTGTGAGGGGTGGGTGTTAGCATCTCCATTTTACCCATGAGGAAACTGAGGCTCTGCTAAGAGAGAGCTGCATAGTCTCACATATCAATGAATCATGCAGCAGAGTTTGAAATCTATTATTCATGCATTCAGTAAATATTTACTGAACACCTACTGTGTTTTAGGTGCCACTCTAGATGGTACATATACAACAATGAATACACGGATAAAAGTTAAAAATCCGGTAGCGCCTGTGACTCTGTGAGTAGGGCGCCGGCCCCATATACCTAAGGTGGCAGGTTTGAACCACGAAACAGTCTAGTCCCAGCCAAACAGCAACAAAAAAATAGCCAGGTGTTGTGGCGGGCCCCTCTAGTCCCAGCTACTGGGGAGGCTGAGGCAAGAGAATCGCCTAAGCCCAAGATCTGGAGGTTGCTGTAAGCTGTGACGCCCCAGCACTCTACTGACGTCGACAAAGTGAGACTGTCTCTTTTTTTTTTTTGAGACAGAGCCTCAAGCTATCCCCCTGGGTAGAGTGCTATGACATCACAGCTCACAGCAACCTCCAACTCCTGGGCTCAAGCGAGTCTCCTGCCTCAGCCTCCCAAGTAGCTGGGACTACAGGCGCCCGCCACAACCCCCGGCTATTTTTTTTTTTTTTTTGGTTGCAGCCATCATTGTTGTTTGGCGGGCCCGGGCTGGTGATTTGAACCCGCAACCTTAGGTGTATGTGGCTGGTGCCTTAGCCGCTTGAGCCACAGGCGCCGAGCCGAGACTGTCTCTTAAAAAAAAAAAATAAGAAAAATCAAGAAGTAAAAAAGTCCCTGTCCTCATGGAGTTTTATTCTACTGTGCATTCATTAAATATTTACTGAGCACCTACTATGTTTCAGGAGCTAGTCTGGATGGTATATACACCACAATGAGTAAATGGATACAAATCCAAAATCCCTGTCCTCATGGAGTTTTATTCTACTGTGGGGGTGGGGTTGAGGTGGAAGAATAGACAATGAAAAAATTCTTAAGGACAATATGGAGACTACTCTATGTCAACTCCCCTCATGGGCACCAGGGGGCACTGCTACCACACACCACCCATTCTCCTCTGCTTGCGTCTGTCCCCCTTCTGATGCCAAAGACAATAGCCAAGGAAATATGAGTACTGTATAACAGCTGCTAAAGCATGAAAGCTGGGAAGGAATTTGTAGTGGTTCTTTCTTCCACCCACTTTCAGAAACTTAATCTCTTCATCAGAACCTTGTCCAACTGCCCAAGCTACTCCAGTGACCTTTCAAAGCCCTGAGTACTCCAAGTTCACCAGCAGCTCACATCACTAGCCTGCCCACTCACTCGTTCCATATACTCTCTTTGGCTATCTACTTCCCTTATCCACCCTTTCAGCAGATCCTCATCTTCCTTCTCATCCACCCACCCTTCCCCATCCAGCTGTTCTTTCTCCTGGAGCTTCCATCAACTCATCCCCCTATGAACTGATGCTATGGAAGCCTAGAGGTGGGGCAGTCACTCCAAAGGTTCTAGGACAGCAGGAGGTCAAACAAGGGCAACAGAGTC